GCCCATTTTTTGCTCACACATTTGCTACATTCATTGAACATGTTAATTGTCAACTTAGTTTTCCTGTCTTAATCCGTATTGTTTGTCTAATGACTAATTGACTCCAGAGTTGGCAAGTGCAGAATATAATTTAGGGTTTATGGAAGTTTGATGGCTTGTCACCCTAACTTATTGCTGTATCATCTCTACCGAACTGCATTAATAACAGTGGTTCAAATGCACACGATGTTATATAGATAGCGTTGTCTGAATATCATACGAGCTAGTATATTCCCTATACCATTTTGACGCACAGATTTTCCTCATTACTATACGTCCACCTGGAAACTCTAGTCACTTGCGCAAAGGCTTTACACAGTAAATTTCAAAGTAACTTCTCTTAAGCCTGGCAACAAATCCGTTCTGCTGCGACCGAATATTCCGATATTGACCAATCATCAGCTCGCGTCGAAGGAAAATACAACTCTTTAAAACCCAAACAAAGTCTCAGAATGGTTTATTCTATAGACCGGCACAGAGGATAAATCGCTTTTTATTGATATATTCCTTCCAGCGAAGCTTGACAAGACTTTTCCATGATTTCATTATGATATATTTTGTAACAGCAACTTTCGTTTAAGATAATTGTCAACTGAAGGTAACTAAACGATCGGTACCGTGTCTTGGGAGGACTAAGAATATGCTAAAGGTTCCTTAGGTTCGAGAGTGCCAATGACAAACAATGTTAAAAGGGTCCTCCTGAGTCGATGCGAGATAGGGCGATCCTGCTCCTATAATATTCACTGCCCTACCTTGAAAAAAAGCAAGAAGACGTCTTTGCTATCATCTTCACATGCTATATTTTATATATACTTCTTTGGCAAACACAGATGTAACAAAAAAAAAGCTTGCGTGGAAAGTTTAATTTCTCGGCTTTCTAAGCTGCACAATATAGGTCATTATTACTGCAATAGGTGCCAACCTTCTTGGAACCTTTGCTGTTAACAGAAGACGCTTCATTAGGCGCTGTATATGCTATATCAATGTGATGAGCGAACCGCTTCCGCCGAAAATGTTTTGGTGCGAACCTATTGTAATGAAACTTGGTGCAAAGAAAATTAACTACACGAACCAAGAAATTTATCTAAAACGTTAAAATGTAAAGGGATTGAATCCAAATATATAATAGGGAATTAAAAAGTGTATAAGATCCTGAGCACGCCATAATCTTGGGCACAACCGTCCGTGAAGTACCCCTTCAGTATGGTAGAAATAAATACTTGCTTATAAAAAAACTGAAAATCATACTGACCAATTAATCATTGTACCTGACGTTTTTGCAGCTTTAAGTATTTTCCTAAAACAAATGCATATATTATTAATTCACTGTGCACTGCACAAAGCTGGGAGATATAGGCTACCGTTTCCTAAAAACATTGGTTTGGACCGGTGTGTTTTTAATATTGTAATGTAGTTTAATTAATGACAATGACTTGAGAGAAGCATTATAGTCGTATGTCTTTGTCATTTATTATCTATCTGCTAATGAAAAGATGTTTAGTATTTTCTCGGCAGCAGACAAGACAATCCGAGATGAGTCAATGGCCTTCGATCAGTAAGAAGACGCACGGCACGTTGATATTTGTGTCTTTTAATATAGATCTTGAAAATAAATACACGTCCATTTCCATCAACTCTTTATTCACGAAATTTATAAATAAACTCTAAAAATATCTAAATTACTTTTTGGTTATTTCAGCATTTTTGATCCGATTAAAAATATTCTGAGTGGTTGATGAATCATGTGTTAATAATGTGTCCAGACTAATATACAGTTTACCTTTCATGGCAATCGAATGTCACGTAGATTTATTCAGGCTATGTGTCGTATGACCATGGCCCCTAGTTCTAACTATACTCGACCATTGTATAAACACACTATAAAGGAAATAAAGTATTCGCTTCACGGATGACCATGGCCTTAGATGAATGATATAATGTATCACCGATAACTTGTTTAGGCACGCATCGCATGTAGACTAACACTCGATTGTTTAATCGCTTATATTAATAAAATAAGGAAGATTCCAGAATCAGACTAATTGTCCTCTTGTATTATGCTCCTTTTGTTCTAAGGTGTATACGCTTATCCGTTGTTTGACCCGATGGGCTTTTCAGCGGATATTAATTGTTGTTTCTTGAATTTTTAAAGATATAAAGCATAAATAATCTATGCATATCCAGTGTAAACCTGGTGATATCTGACAACAAATTTCGAAGAGATTCTATGCAGTTATCAGAATTCGTACGTCATACGGCAGTAAGATAGTAATATTCTTTTACTATTTCATTTCAATTTGACTACCAAAGTCGTTTTTAAAGTACCTTTCAGTAGTCATATAGCGTTACAATGTATAAAGCGTGTTTAATAGTTTTTAAAATTGCTCGCTTTCTAGGTCGTTTTTAAGCCCGCAGCAAGTCGGATACAACATTTAAAATTAGAGAAGTGTTTCCTATCCATAATATCAGTCAGTTGTTTACTGCGTAGCAACCGCTACAATAGATGCACCCATAGTAGCGCGACCACTATTTGTGTCGCCAGCGAGTTCAGTGCTGCTTATTTAACCGATTTCGTATTATTCAATAATCCAAATATTGATGACGACTAGAATTAATGGTTGTATGAATACTAAAGCTGACGTGTTTTTTTCCTTTTAAATTAATATTATTATTCTGCTGCAGTACCAACACCACGAGTGCAACCATTTAAACTGTGAAACCAATTTTTACTATATTATATATAGCATGAAAAGCACAGAATCGCTCATTCAGGGCAAAGTTAACAGTCTGCACGATAACTATTACTATAACACGGTTCAAGGGATATTGAATGTCGATTTCATTTATTATAATATATTGTAATAAAAAACTGCTTAGGTATGCTTCGCAACCCGGGCAAAAAAGCCTTCCGGGTGCTGGCATTCCTCTTTGTAGCCTTACGTTTGAAAAGTTGGCTAAGAACCAACTGACTAGAAATTTCCAACCAAAGTTAAACTATGACTTGTATCTTGTAAATGGCAGATGCACAAATTGCTAGCGTTGATATTAATAGAAAACCGTGCAGCAGAAATTACTTCGAATCTAGATAATTAGTAACTAAAACAAGTTAAACGGTAATGCAAAGCGTAACTGTTACTACCTATATGGACAACAACTTACGGAATATTTAATACACTCTAATATTGTTAGTGGAATCTATTTTTCGTCTGAGGCGACTCCTGAGAATCTCGTGATTCGTCGGTACTCCAAAAAGCGTCGTTTCTGACGTCCCAGTGGGGTTTGGTTAAGTTAAATTAATCGATCAACGCTAACAAGCGCGTTTCATTGTATCAAGGGATCCACAAGTGCTACGTATGTCTGCAAATATGAATCACGTGCATGCATACGTCATGGCATGTTGTTGCGCGTCAACAGCTGTTCACCGAATGAAGATAGGAAGTAAAGTACAAGTAATTATAATTTAGTGTTTGTGCAATGCTTATACATCTATATGTATTGCCGTAGTACTCTTTTGATTATACCAAACAGACCGAACGGGATTATTGTCAGCAGCAATATAGAAATGACGTCGAACCATTTCCAACGTCTGTAATAATTCTCTATAGATCGGTTCTCTGAATTAGTAATAATACTCTGCATCCGTCTTACACGAAAACATTTATATTCTCCTTCTGACAATATGAAAAAAAACTGGAAGCCATATACATTTTTTGAAGACGTTACAAACCCATCATGCTTGGGCATAGACAGGTACGACTATTTTCTTTGTATAATCGCTCACTGCTTACAATGTGGACATTGAAGCCCTCAGGTACCAACGAAATTTAAAGCAAGCTCATCCTAAGTGATATCACTGTTTCAGTACTAATCCTAGTCTGCAATCAGTTTTAAATAAAATATGCTTAGCGTAGTCGAATAATATTTGTAGGTTGATATCGTGCATCAATAAATCGTAAGAAAGTAGTAAGAGTAGTAAGAGACGGTGGCTTGAATGACCCTAGCTAAAGAAATCATAATCCAAGTTTTACAGCGGCATTGTTATAAATGTGATACATGGAAATTCAATTACAAAAATATAAGTGATAACGTGACGCAAAGAAAATTTATGGTCGGTGCCAAATGCATGTTTTGTAGAGCAGTTCTATAATAATGAATAGAACTTCACAGTTTTTCATATCCATCTATGATCTTATATGCAAGTCATAATTTAAGCTACTTTGCTGTCTGTTGTATGAAGCTTTAGTAGCCATCTTATTAGGACTGGTCAATATAAAGCCAATATAGGACAGCTATCCATGGTAGCGCAGACCTACTCAGAAACTGCCGCCATCTCTAACATCAGCGTTGTGCCATTCTTGGTACACATAGTAACCGCCAATTATCAAAGTAGAGCAGCCATAAGTATTTGTAATTTTAAGCAACCCATCGTCCAAACCGTAAAACCTGATCAAAAGACAGAAACCACTATTTAATTTCTTTTACAATATCTAGAAAAATACCACAGAGTACAGCATTTATTAGCCCTACTTTTGGCCGTGGTGGAGTTGTGGAGTTGAAACAAGGTTATTTCCGGTGCTAATCTTGTTGGACACATGCAGATCGATGCGCTCTTGAACTTACAAAGTTGTTAAAAGTAAACACTACTTTTTGTAATTAGCGTTATACGAAGGGCATATCTACGTATCGGGGTCGCACCGCGGAACTAACTAAATAGTAATCGTAAAGGTGCTAATGGCTGACCACTCGTAGGGTGCGGGAATGCTAGTTACAGAACAATAGTTTTTTATTAAAGAAAACCCTACGGTTACTAAAATTGTGCATGTTGCAATATTCTTCAGTAGCAAATAAACACAATTCTGCTTATATAGAAACTATTTGTCCTTTCAATCATAACCGCAATACACGAATCTATTCAAAAAAGTATACGTCTTTAGCAATCTATGCAGCATAATGTTACTTACGAATTCTGATGATTGGACTTCCTTGACTTCATTAGCGAAATATTTGGCAACAATATAGCCCATCCCAATGCAACCTCCGGAGAAGACAGCGGCAGTCCAAGCATACCTTCGGTGCCAGCTTTCACCCCGTCTTACGAAGGGCCTGTCTATGTACTCCACACGAACAGGCGCACCTCCACTTAACGGACGGATAGCGCCGCTAACACTAAGGACCGATAGTGGTCGGATCATACCACGAATACGCGGCATACGTTGAATTGCTTGTGACATATTAAATTGGTTTCTTTGTTACTTCAAATGTTTTTACCTGGGTTATTGTCACTAGTGTCGGTCATTGGTGAGGTTTATTACTTTTTCTATTAGAATAGTCGGTGGGTCGCCATCGACATTATTTGTAGAGCGTGGCTCAGAAAATCGACTGCATATCTGAACTCACCTACGATTATCATTGCACACAAAAACACAAAATAACACATACTCTATTCTACGTGAAAGCTGAGATCGTTACACAATCATAAACTTGATGATCACTTCTCTTGTCATTGTCTTTCTTTGTTTTGATAAATTCCTCTTTTGTACGTATTTACGTACGTACGGATTACATTTGTTCAAACAGAAGGTTAAAAACACTTGAGTGGCAGAAACTGTATTCACTTTAAAAAAAAATGATTGAGTTAACTTTTGGATTGCAAACGTCTAAAGCTTTCATTCATTCTATTCTTAGTGCATGGAACGTATTTCCACTAACGACGACAACGACAACAACAGCAACGCTAAGAACGAAGAAATCACTGCTCTGATGGAAGGATGCCTTTAGAAAGTCAAAATGAGACATTGTTCTTCAGAACTTGAGAGTTCATTGCCGCCCGCCCTTTAAACCAAGACACAGTCAACTCAATTACACGTGCAAGTGTACATCTACTTCTCCGGCTGACTTCTTTTGTATCTTGCCACTTCTCGTCGTAATCGTAAAAAAATTAAAGCTATCTGCTGCTCGTTTTTTTGATTGTCGTCGTTTTCGTTGGTGTTGTCGTTTGATTTGTTCCTGTTGCCGTTCTTGTTTTTGAAAGGGACTTTAGAGATATCGTTACCTTAAAACGACCTAGTATTATATTATACTATATTCTCATTGTTACTAAGCGGAGACCGGCTGTGAGTGGGACGAGATCGAGGGCAACGCGGCTACGTTCCCTCGCATGCCGCTGTTCGTTTCTATATTATCGTTTTGAATCAGCTGACCGTTAATTCGGTTCGTCGAATGTCTCGAAGATGTAATTATCCTTTGTTGCGATTTACAGTGTGCAAGACACTGATGAACATTTACGTTTTAGGATATATATCTCAGAATCGAAAAGCGTTCACCGCCACTGTCATCATAACAGCACCGTCAGCATCACCATCACCCATCAGCACACACACCCGCACTCGTCCATACTCCACTCACAATTACGGATCCAGCGGCCGACCGGTACCACTCGTTCCGAATCAGGACCTGCAGCGAGCCCTTTGCCTATCCTAGACAACAGCACAGTCCCACTGGCCCACCATTAGACTCATGGACATCGACTCTAAAACTAGTCGCCTGACGGAGCCACCATCTATGAGCGAATCTTATTAACACGGACTGTAGGTGGCGCTGGTGATTGCCGTATTGCTGCAGAGCACGTGGGTGTCGCGCTGCCTTGTGTTTTACCAAGCTCACCGACTAGCAGGCGGTTCTCTTAGTGTACAAAACAAGCACACACTTTTGCTCGAAAAGGGACCTTACCGAAAAGCGACTAATGCATGGCCGTGCGACGTTTCGTTAGCCCACTAAAGCAACAATACAGTGCATAGCGAAAGGTAATTATTTTTCGGACACAAACACGTTATGCCAGTTGCTGTCGTCACAGAGGCCCCCGGTTGAGGTACTTATAGGGCTTGACAAAGGCTGCAACCGTAGGGCAAAACTGCTGTAGGGGCCTAATGTGTCGCAGCTGCTGACAGGCCATCAGACGCCAGCGTAATGGGCGCAGATTATCATGAAATGTTACATAGCAGAATGCGTGAGTTCAAACCTATTCTTGCTTAAATGATATCACCGGCTGATCAGACCAACATTTAGGCAACTACACAACTGGGGAAGTGCCCTGTACTTGTCTGAGGAATTCACAGTCCGATTAGCATTAATGTAAATCTTCCTTTTAAACTTATCAGGTCAAATAACTGTCTCTTAAATGAATATAAAGGTATTAAAGTCAATCCTAGTACAAAGAAATATTAATTAAGAAGTTTAATGGGGTTATTTAAGCAAATACACACACTACGTATATCTGCTGACAGACGCCAGCATCGATGGCTAGTTACGCGTGACGCTTTTGTTGGCCAAGTTGTCGAACATGGAAGTGCCAGGTCTTTCGCCTGCCTCAGTCGCTGTTACTGCGTTTAGGTCTAATTTAGCGTTTACAGTAGGTGTAAACATTGTAACAGGGCTGTACTGAATTTCATTCTTAGTATCGGGCTTTAGTCTAGATATCTAGTAGAATATTTAAAATATTTTCAAAAAACTAATTCGGTTTTATATTTTTTTATTCTGTTTTATCATTTATTATTTTATGATGAAAAAATACTCACTCCATAAGGTTGCAATTTTATTGCAACATTAAGCTAAACTTCATTTAGCATTTATTACTCGAAGGACATGTAGTACATCATGGATCTTGTCCATTAGGTTAGGCCGCAAAACCATCGTCTGTATGTTACCTATTTCTATTATATTACAAATAGGCTGTGCGTATGCTTTGTCTGTGTCTTCAAAATAAATGTTCCACTTTTTGTATCCGGTGCTACTGCCTGGCTTGGATTGCTGTTTTGGACGACTGACCCCTTCCAACGTGAAACGAAGTCCACTTGTCTACGCCCTGTGTAAAAGCTAGATCACCTTACGTTACTAAGTGTTCCTAAGTCTATTATTACGCAAACGCATTACTACTGCACCTCGCGGAGACTTCATTACCTGTAGAACTCACATAGCCCCGTAGAGTGGTTGCATTGACATGATTTTTAGGGCCATGGTGGGCTAAGTTGTCCATGGGATGGAGCCCATTGGGTAAGCACTTTATCCAACACTTCCTTTTTACGCTCTATAGGACTAAAGAACTCCTTTCTTTCCCCCACAAGCTATAATGATTGTTTGGGCAAATTGATCATTTAGTGGCGATTTCCTAAGCAGCCAGTAATAATTTCTTAAAGGTTGATGTGGGAAGACTTAAACACTACAAAACGGGTGCAACATGGGGTTTTGAGACTTTTTCAATTTTTAATTTTGTTTTTGTTATTTAATTATTTTTGTTTGGAAAAATATATGAACGTTATTAAAACAGTTTAATATGAATCATATTCCAAATAGAAATAATTTATTTCGGAAACGAATTTACTTCGACGGGAAAACTGCAGCAAGATGAAGAATTATCTCGGGAAAATTACAACTGAATAAACTTGAAGGCGTGAACTTTAGTCCAACTATAAGTTATATGAGCCTGCCCCTGTGATAGCTCATTGGGTAACGTATTTGCCTACTAATCTTAAATTCGAACTCAAGCATAGATAGACTGCGTTTCGTGCTAGGAAGCAGCCTTATAATGGAACGCCTCACGGCGATACCGGACGTAATACTTGAAACCTAGAGCTTCTATAAAGAAAATTGTCTTGAAATGAAATAAAGAAAAAGAAATATTGTATACTCAAGCTAGATATACGGAAGATGTCACAGCTACAAAATTGAATCAAATTATTTAAATATTATGAAGGGCGCATAATCCAAAGCGTGTATAATTGCTTAGGACAAAAACTTTAGAGAAATCCCCACGGACTTGAAATTGGGATATTAAGAGCAAGCCCAATTTTTAATTAAAAGACCGTTTTTTTCAATTAGTTTTAAACCTGATCCACACATTTTTACTGAAATCGTGATTTTCTTTAATTTTTTTGACTAAAAGAGACAGAGAACATCAAATTTTCTCTCTCTTATAGGCTTCACTCTGTTTCATAATTTTATACCGTTGCTAGCACCTGAATCGTACACTTATGAGCTAACGATGTACGTTATTCAGAATTTGTTTCATAGGATGGCTTTGTCAATAGTCCAAAATATTTTTTTCTAATACCACGCGGAGTATGTATTACTGAACCATAAACCTTTCACACACATTTTTCGAATAGCAGATGAAAGCTTCAATATGCAATTCCAGTGGGAATTTCCAACGCTGTTCAAAATAATTAGAAATCCTTTCAGCATGATGTGGTGCTCTAGGAATTGGCTTTATCGCACATACAGTTTGCCTTGCTGCCATTTAGCCACTGCTAAGTTACGCGGAAAAATCCGATGGTTGCTCTTATAAAAGCTTGTTAGAATACCAGCCTGAAAAGCTCAACTACTTGGACCTGAGAGCAAATTTGAAGCAGGAAACAGTCCCACTATATTTTTTTAATTTGATATTTACATTGTGGTTAAGCTTTTCCACACCATTTGCAATTTGATAACAACAGCTTTGAAGTGCATGTAACTTTTACTATTACTGCAATTTAAGTGCTTTTTTGCAATAGTAATGTATTTCTTTTTCATTATATTGCAAAGATTTCTCAATAATTCAGTTTTGCCATCTTATAAATTCCATAGCCATACTATAATGATGCCAAGTATCTGGCAAAATTCTCGATCCATTTTGAATAGAATGTTAAACAAATCTAAAATTTTTGAAGTTCTGAAGAATAGCTAGAATTAAAAAGATTTTATAGAAAACATCACAGTATGCCTATTTGACTTATAAATTAATTTTTCTTTAAAAATGCAAACAAACAAAACATGGAATCATTTTGGTACGCAGATATTGCTTTTCACTTAGCCATTAAAGCTGGAATGGTGCCAGGGTAAACGCTCTATGGCGAGTACAGCTTGAAATAGTTTTGGTTTAGCACTGGCCCATAATACTAATAAACCTAAATGGATTTAGATATGTGATTTCCTGGGAAGGTGTGATGACAGTTTTTGCTCAAAAGTAAGAGATTTGATAAGTAAAATGGATATGACTCTTTTTGCATAGGGAAAGAATTTGTGTCGGTACCCCCAAAGGGGTTACACTTTTCTCCGTAAGTTTGATCGCTCGCGAGATAATTGTGAAAATTTGATTTTATAGCCATCATAGCCATTATGATAGCCCTGGATATGATCGCCCTCTTCCCAGGACGTCTGAGACTGGAGTGGTAAACCAGTATTTAAAATTAGATAAACGCGCTAAAAATCCCTAAAGTTTTTGTTACAAAGAGTGTCCATAAGAAGGACTTTGATCGTAAGTTACTAATTTGCTAACGTGCGATCCTGTTGAAAAGCAAAAGTGAAAATTGGGAAATACAAATATCGCGTTCTAGGAATCTGCTTACACAAGGTGCAGCTATAATGATACAGATATGAACTCGGATTTCACAGCCACGGTCTGAGAAACCAAACTGTTAAAGATTTGGGAAGCCGTTTGCGATAGAAGGGGAGTACTAATAAATGCCAGCGATGCGGGAGAGACATGTAGTTACTCGGCTTCCAAGTATTGCAATCTTTTTTCGTTGATGTGTTTTTTGGTTAGACATGATTAGTTACATTCTACCATTCCGTAATGTGGATATGGCTCCGATTACATTCATTATGCTAGATAGAGCTGAAAGGCGTAGCTTTAGATAGTCGAAATAGTGCTCATAAGATCAAATTTGTACCCTTGATTTTCAAATATCTTTTCGTTTGTGCAGAGCTAATCCGTAAATACTTTTGTAATGGTCGCCGTATCAAACTGTACGTTCTTTGGAGGCGCACACCGACTAACCATTTTGGGAAAACCAAAACAATTGTTGATTTTAGTGTGCTTGACCACTCCAATGATGATACTAATCGGCAACCATATATGCCATACTTGATTCGACTCTTAAAATAGTCATGTGATATAAAATCATATGAAATACGATGTGGTTATGAAAGAGAAAAAAATCTGTGATTAAGTCTTTTTTGTGGCGTGCATCAAATATAATCCAATAACTTTTAGTGCAACAAGTAGGGGTTGGCTAGCCGCGCATATCAAAAGTCCACGCTTTTCTAACTCGTTTAAGGCTATCCTGGATATTACTAGCTGCCCTGCGAAAGATACCGACTTGAGATTTTCCTTCTTGTTGGATTAAATAATAATTATGCGCGTCTGGGTCTCATTAAGACGCTAATCATGATATCAAAGGTTTTCCTATTTAATTTAAGGAGAGAGACGTTTAGGTTATTTACCAAGTGTGGTGGCTACAGAAAACAAGACTTTACAGCCCATATTATAGAACTATAAATGTACAGAAATATACAGAAAATAACAGCCTTTTCCCAAGCGAAAAACAGTCAAGGTACAACTGAGATGGGTTCAGATGATATCCCTTTCGTCATTTCTGGACAGTACACATTTCCTGATCGGAAGTGCACTGTCAGAAGTCACCATGCCCAATACTATCCAAGT